ACTACGGAACGAGTATACTGTGTGGCAGTTTTTTCTTCTACTTTACACCTGCGAAACATCGCCTTCAAGATCAGAAGATACTCGTAAGCTACTAGTATTTGACCACAGATGTCTCAGAAATATTGCTCACATCTGCTGGGATCACAGGGTAAGTAATGGTGAGGTTAGACACAGTGTATTAGGGAATGATGGTAAGTCAGTTGATGAGGTTGTGAATCTTCATCGACTGAGATGGTTGGACCACGTGTTACGTATGCATGAACACCAAGTACTACAACGCACAATGCTGATTAGTGTTGGGGATGGTTGGAAGAAAGTTGGGGGTGGCCAAACCAAAACGTGGTATCAGTCCACAAAGTCACTAACTTCTAATCTGAGCCATGTTGGTAGATGCCAACTACTTGGTTGGGGTCAGCGCGACTATCGTAACCAATAGTTGGAGACTGTGTGTGACATGGCTCAGAATCGATCACAATTGCGTAGATGTATACACTCTGTCTTCCATTAAACTATGAGATTAATATTTCTTTATATTTTTCTTTCTACCAACTAATTCTTTCTTCCTGTACTATGTCCATATATGTAATCTTTTTTTATATATTACTACCATTGAATTAACTATTTCTATGAATTCGGTGTTCATCTTGTTGTGCTAATGAGTAAGGTGTGGCAACTTAGACCGATGCATATATGTGCCTGGTCCTGCGTTGTAGCTGACTTATTGGCATACCGAGTTGAAATACATAAACCTAAGAACGAAGATGGATTAAAATAAATGGTTTATCAAGAATCACTCTTAAATATATATTATTTATGAGTTAAATTGTTAAAAAGGAACAAATAAGTGCGACTATAGAAACCATTCACATATATTTTGACCGTGTATTTATTAAAGACCTAATTCATGGTAAATTTATGATTCCCCCGTTATCAGATTTTATTTGATTATTTTTTTATTGTCTAGTATTCCTTCCATACACTACCTTATTCAACATATTCAAAATCAAAACAAGAATTTGAAGCAAGCGAAAATATATTCCAAAAAGCGAACACAAGAAGTCAGTAAAGTGAAAACTTAAAGGTTTATACAATGATATACAAGGGACTTGGTTCGACAACATATTGAATAAGTATTGTATGGTTAAGAGCATTTTTCAAATGTCATAAATTGCAGCACATTAATCGTACGTCAGTTACAACATTTTATTATCCATGTTTTCATTTCGTTTAAATTGAGATTTATTATTTACAGTCCTTCTTAATCTTTGATTTTATGCACAGAGTGAAATGATTTTTAGATTCTAAGTGGCACAGAATATTGTGAGGTGCTTGCATGGTCTTGATGGAGTTCTGACTGATATTCTGGGGAAGCGGATTAGAATAACACACGGGATGTTTGCCGTTCTAGAACGCACCATAGACAGTGTTATCAAACTAAGTCAGTGGACATAGAAAGAAAATTCACAACATAAAATAACCATAATAGCATCTTAGGACACATGCAATTTGACCAGAATTAATGCTATGTCTGCTTTATTAGTATTAGATTCCAAGAACTTATCTATTGGAAATACTTTCAACTGTCAAAAAATAAGCCAATAGAAATATTCCTTCTTGTGTGATGTAAATATTTTGGTAATAAAGTTATGAACTGAAAAAATTTATTAAAAACCCACTAATTTACCAGGTGTCTCGGTATGAGCCACATTCTAAGTGTGAGGGTTAATGATACTACATGGTTATCCGGACGAAGGTAGATAAAGCGGAGTTCGAGCCTATGAATTCGTGACTGAACGTCCAAATGTTCAACCACTAGGCCATAGCCTCAAAAATGACAAAAGTAATTTTAATTAAAGCCGTATATGCCTAATTTTTCTTTATGGTCTGTAATATCCTGACAGCAGAATGTGCATGAAGAGTGTTTATGAATCACTAGGTACGCATATCCAGCCATTCACTGTTATAATATGACCCTAGTCGGACTGTCACACAACAGCTAAAAGTGACCATACCGATGACATCGATCTGCAAGGTGATTTTCTGTCAGCTTAAACTGTTTAAGGAAATATAAGCTAATTGACTGAGACCGTCTAGATTACAGTAAGATTTGGAAGTAAATTAACGCTACACTAAATCAATCACTCTGTTACAGATATGTTCAACCTTCATTTTTGTCAAAATCTTGAACATCTTACTACTTTAACTATTCCAAATTTCTATATCTATATTTCGATGTCATTTCATTCCCGTTATCGATGGAGAATGCTGGTGGACAACCTATGCTCCTCCACGCGGGGTAACAGGAGTAAGTTATTTGTGTTAACTGTATATTTCTGCAAATGCGAGACGTGACAATCCGACTCGACTTACTTATGTACAGCGTTCCACTTGACGGTTTTCTCATGACCATGAATCCTATTAATTTAGGTGCTAACTAAGTATATGTCAGAGAATATGAGTAAAATATTAGACACTTATGCAATCACGTAAATGTGACCTCATAATCCTTTTTAATTGAATATACCAACTGTATGACTTTCGACAATTATTACACGACTAGATCTTTCAACAACAGTTTACCGAAGATTCTATGTCCAATCGCCCAATCATAATTATAAAATATATCCTATCATATAGCTTTTATTTAGGCCAGATTGATTTTTGCACATTCAAGTTATTGAAATACTAAGTAAGTATTTCCACCTACTCAATAATTCAGTCTTCATTCTACTTCTAAGTAGTTAATAAATATTACATATAGTTTCTTACCACACCTGGTTGGTGTCAGAGTGGTTTTTGCAATTAATGGGTGGTGTTGGGTAATGTGACTCAAAATTGGTGATATTGGCGCAGATGCCTTCACTCTTCAGTTTCTTTTGAGTCATGATCCCTAGGATTCTTTTATGCATACCTTACCATTCTTTCTTGAACCATATTCACATTGTTTTAGTATCTATCACTATCATCATTAACTTTTTCTTCCCATCCTGATATGGTATGGCAGCTTGAGCTAACGCACAATTATTTCATGCTTTTCGTTGATCATAACTGCCTAACTTTAACTGATAGGAAATTAGAGTCAGTCATCATGAGCATAGGGTCCAGGAAGAATGTGCGTCGGTCCAAGTTTCCATACCTCATGTCAACACAAAGAGAGGAAAGCAACAAGATGATAGACACAGGATGTAAGGTAATATCAATACTAATAAAAATTTAACGAACGATCATAAGTAGCACTGTCTGACGCGTCAACACTCGATACAGCAGATCATCTGATTATCAACCTCATATTGAAGACTTATTTCCTGAAGCGAAAATTGTACGAACTACGTTCAGAAACGGATGGTAGAAAAGAGCTCTATGAAGGGTTACACCACAGAAATGACGCATCAGCTTATTGCCTAGATATTTACAAAATTTTAAACTGATAGTTGTATATGAGATACTCCTATATTGTACGAATTGAGCAAGGAATAAAAAAGTCCCCTTACTTATGAAATCATTTATTAGCAAGCGCAAAAATGACGTTTACGCAATTTGTCAACGAAACTTGTGTCTATTAAACGATTTACTAACTTCAATACTATTAGGTGGTAGATGTTTATGAAGTTTTAAAGAGTATTTAACGTAGTAAGTTTACTATAGTTGCAATCTATGTGGACGATAGGAACTCCTAGTGAACTAAAACACTTGCGATAAGATATCCATTGGTCGTAGCAGACATTGGAACCACTGACCTGGTGAACCAATCTGGAACCTTCTTCCTTTATGTCGTGCTACTGTTACGAAAATTAGGATCACATGAACTAGGAGAACGTCCGTCATAGTTAACTTCAGAATGATCTCTAACTCATATCGTGACCAAAATGAAGTGACTGGTTAGAGGCTGTGGATTATTATGCCTGATAAAAGTGAAAGCAGTGGGTTAATTTTTTGGGACTAGGATTGATGTAGCTTAAAACCTGTCACATGTACGTGTACCTCATTATTATTCCATAATAGCTTATTATTTATATTCTTACACAAAGCCCCAACTTTATTTTTTCTCCACTCACTGTTGAGAAGAGTAGCAATAATAATTATAATAGTTATATTATTGTGGGAAGTGCTTCGTTGTATCAGCCTGTCGTTCCCCCAGACATATTAGAATCTTGAAGTTAGGATCGATTTAGTAATCACCCATGTCCATGAACTAGGTTAAGGTCCGTCCCTAAGATCTAGAGGATAACATCTAGGTGCCGCGATCCAATTACGAGCTAGACGGTTTAAACCCTTACTTCACCACTAATTAAGATTGAATAATTTAAGTACGTTACTTAAAATCAGGAAATTAATTAATCCCCTTACCAGGTAACTTGGTATGAGCTACAATCTAGGTGAGGAATAATGATGCCACACAGTTACGTAAACCAAAGTAAGTGGAGCGGTGTTCGTACCAGCGAATTAGTGTTTATAACCTCAACACTTTAACCATTAAGATGCCCTCATTTACTTAACCTTGGTTTAACATTTAAATATTAGCGAATTTTTAATATAATTGAAAAACCAATTACCGTTCGTGTACGTTATCCTCGCACAACTCATTCGTAAGAGGCAGCAATATCAATAAAAATTGGATTACTTAAGAACACAGTTCAAACATGACACGGTAACTGAATGAATGTCAAGTGCTGTAATTAATTCACTACGTCTTTGTTATTTAAACATTTAATATAAAATGTTTAATTATCTCTAACTAGTTTCTTCTAAAACTTTCAAGGATCTTCTTAAGTTTTACATTGGTACTATTATGGTTATTCACATTAAGTTTTGTTTTATCAGTATGTGGTTGTGGAGATAGTTAGGTTTTTGATTGAGATTACGAGTCGATTGATGTTAGGCTACCATTGAAAACCTGAAAGTACTGAACTATGAGGCTTAAAGTGTGCCAACTTGAACAAAATTTGATATAGGTCTTAAGTTGTTTCTATGATTATGTATGTAAATTGGTGAGAACGAACTGCACAACTTTACAGTAAATAGTGGACATACAATTAAATTGTTCCAGAATACTGACCCGTCAAATATGGGAACCAAGGATCAACAAATATTGTAAAGAATAAACAAAAAGACGTAATATGAAAAGTATAAAATCTATGTACAAAAATTTCACGTAAGTTTACTGTTTAAGGTGCTAAGAGAACTTTAGCCTCATGTACAAGCTGTTGGTAAGTTAAATCTTTTTCTATAGAACCCAGTGATATGAGCTGTTTTTCTTTTTCGTCAATTGACTTAACGAGATTTTTAATTTTCGAATGTTTTTCGCCTGTTGAATAGTATAACCTTACTGATAATCGCCCTTTTAAAACTGCCAGTTCAAATGTCGATGCAAATCCTTGATCAACACCAATATTAAATTCGTTTTGTAAAACAACGTCACTTTTGGCGAAATATCCTTCTCGTATACCTGCACTATAAACCTCCTCAGCACGACGTTCCCAGTCTCGTGACCCAACTTCTAACTCTGAATGGACATCAGATATTTCGCTATTGAATACATCATCCATAGAAATAAACTATGTGCACCTAAAAATGGAAATATATGGAATCTGTCACTGAAAGCAAAATAAACTATGAAATTAGCCACCTGTAACAGATAGACTAAGAATCATGGTTTGAATGTTAATTAACCAGTGTACAAACCTGACTAAATATGCGGGTTTAAGGAATAAAAGTAGGTATTGAATGCACTATATTGATCAATAACTGATAACTAATTGCAGGAGTAAGATCGCAGAAAGAAGAGGTTGTTCAAAATAAACATACGGAACTTCACTGGAAGGCAGAATTTCCAAAAAAACAATTATTTTACCAGCATACCTTTTAAGGATGCTTTAAAATTAGTGATGACAGTAAATACTCTAGTAATAGTTGCCTGTTTAGGTCTGGGAAGGGAAACTGGATAAATCCAAAACGGAGATTTAAAGATCAACATTGAAGAAGTAACAGAAACAATATGTTGTTTTGGTCCAGAAGTATAAATCTGTGGTAAATCTCTGAGGGTCCTAAGTTTTCAAATAAATGAATTCGAAACTAGATTTATCATATATGGCTAAGGTTGACTTAGTAGTGAAGTCTTTAACATATAGACACTAAATATGCTTTATTTCGGGTTTGTGACCTTTTGGTTTAGCTATCGCTTTCATTCTTATTTAATTTGGCCAGAAATACAACAACCTGAACCAACATAATTTTTGAAGTCCTGAAGTATTTATTTAACAAAAAGCGTAGTTCCAATCCAGTTTGTTGGATTTCTAAGCATACCAAAATCCATCTATTCAATAAACTAAGACCCAAACACCAGTATACTCAACAGTGTGACATTAGTTCCTAACTTGACAAAATTGTGTTTCGTAAAGTGCTAGTTCAAGAAGATAGTGTTAACGTCGGTATATATAGTTCCAGAAAACTACGGTAGTTTTACTGGTTAGTGTAATAGTTATTATTTAAGTATAACAACCCAGTCGCAGTTATATGTCTGAATCTATAAAGCCCTTTATTTTTATATTAAACTCAAGGTGTGTTCTCTCCCAGATCTTCATACTTGAATAGAAAACTTATCAATGACAATGTTACTATACGTCAACATTACTTTGAAAGTGTAAATATAATCACTTATAGGTAGTGTAATCTAGTTTTAGGTAGTCATATGTAAGATACATTCCTGTAATTGTTAATGCAATAAAACTAATTAGACGCTCAGACTAAGGTAGATGAAGCACAGTTCAAATAGACAAGCCGAACATTTAAAACACTTTGACACTAACTTATCGATCCACAATTACTTAATGCTCACATTATATTTCGGTAGTAAACATTATGAACAGCGAAACTGCTCAGTCCTAATCCCTGTCACTTAATAAAGTTATATTTTTTTAAATCCATAGTCATGTTGAAAGCTGAAATGTGCTTCTTTGGAGATGAACTAACCAATTTGAGAGAATTGACTGTCTTAACAATCAAGTTATGGTGAAATCTTATGAAACATAGGGACTGATATTTAAGAAAATCTATATAACCATCTGAAACATTGCATGATAAGATATTAAGAGAAAAGTAGCGAGTAGATGCTGGCATGCAAATCTAATTCCTCCTATATAAGTGTACACGACTACACACAAGCTGTTGATCTGGATAATAGAATAACCAATTGACACAACTAACAAAGGTGAACTATAATACCACAATGATTAGGACGTGCGGAAGTGGACTTTCAGATGTAAATGCTGCGAAATATGCCTTGTTACAATCCACACATCAAGTGATATATTACAACTATGAAAATTGGTGGGCTTCAACTAAACGGACTACACTAAACTACGTTTTGGCCAGCGAATAAAATGACTGATTTGTAACTTGTCATATGACAAGTTACGAAATTTCAGTTAGAAATCAACTTAACGATGAACAAAGGGGATGTACATGGGAATTATGGGTTTTATTATCACGCCCTGAAGCCTGCTTGAATGCCAAAATGCGCTGCAGCTGATTTGGTAAGTGAACCTCGCGTTGCAATCAGAATGATCCGTCATCTCAAGCATTCAAATTAAGGACAAAACGAATCAATTTGGGTGCATTTTGATAAGATGCAAAATAGGACCCAAAGTTTACCCAAATGTGGGATTTTTCCAGGTTCACCAACCTACTATATATATAACTTTGTTACTGAAGACTGATTCAAATCACTCTGATTATTTGTGTAATTACACAAAACTTTCACGTCTACCAAGTAAATGATGCGAATCAATAAACTTTGGATTTTAGGTTGCAGTTATATGAATCTGACCTTAAATTTCTACCTGTAATAAAGGATTTTTCAAAAGTTGGGAACTATGGGTGCTTCCGAAACTTCCGTATTATGAAAGCGACACGTTGAGCATGAAATAGTATATCAGCAACGAAGGTCAATTCTCAGGCTATTCAATTTGGTATCCACTGCAATATGTTACGCGAAACACTAAATACACGTGCTGACGGCGCGTCAGTCCCTTTCAAAGACGCCGGCTGTTTTCTTACAACGACCTTGATCATTCCGTATTTCAGTTGCCACGGGTTTGTTGGGTTGCATGAATATTAGGTTTTCTCATATATAAGTCGCCTTTTGCTGCATTAAAAATCACAAAATAACTGACGAAAGCAATAATTTAGCGTTTTCTATTTTGTAACGTTCACGTTGGTTCTATTGTTGCTTCGTAACTACATCTGTGATCCCAACTGCTGAAGTGGACGTCAACGCCTTTGTTTAGTTTTTTGATAAGGTACAGAAAACAGCGTTTAAGATCAAAGTTTCTAAAATGTCAATCAAGGTTCCGTGTAAGATTGGAAGATGAAGGATATGTCATAAAATTATACAAGATGCTTGATAATCTTGCTTGCAGTATTTTATGAATGGTTTGTGATCCATGGACCAGAAGGTTGTTGTCAGAAGTAAAAGAAAAGTTGAAGCCGGTGATATTGCAGTTAAGATCAACAGATGAATTAGTAAAAAGTATCAAGGATCGAAGCAGGTCACTGCTGCTGATGTAAAGACTATGAAAGCTCGACTGTCTACAAGTAAGTGTATAGAAGTATATTTCAGGTTGTTATACGCAAATGTAAATAATCGATATGTTGCTGCAAAAGTGTGAAGTGATAGAGTATCCAGAAAATGGATATGCAACCAGAATATGCTTCAGTACTTATGAGCAGATACTACTATATAATAAATATCCAGAAGTTGTGTGTATTGATTCTATTTACAATACCAATATTAAAAAGATTATGCTTTTTGTTACGTTCCACTTTGTAGATATTCGTTATTCCAGTTGGTAGTAACCTATAATTTTGAACGACGGCGTCCTGTTCTGTTTGCATGAGCGCGAAAAGAATAGTGGGCAGATGTAACGTGGGTCGTGGAAAAATTCAGAGAATTCATAGGAAATACGTCAAAAACGCAAGCAATTGTTATGGACTGCTCACGAGCCGAAAGCGTGCTTGCCCGTATTACACACGGTAATGCAAATACTATTTTGTGCTCCATTCACACATGTCGCGCTTTCCGTAAAAACATACACCTATCATGATTTTAATGTAATTCCCTTTAGACTAGTGATAAAATCTTGAGAACGTACCTCAGTAGATTAGTAACCACAGAAACTGTTGGAAAGTATTGGTTGAAAGGTATTTATTGCGTGGGTTTAATCAATATTTCAGAGTTAATAACCAAAAAGACAGACTAGTGGGTCAGTATCTTCATCGATTCTGGATGTCTCGCAAAAGTATGTGGGCGGTAGCATTTGGTGGAAGTGTTTTGACTCCCGGCAACAACACGAATGATCTTGTGGAGTCATTGAATCGCTAAATAAAAAGATATGTACGCAAGACTGACAGCCTGCACAAATGTATCTACAAGATTTTCAATCGGAATGCAATGACATCAGCCAGGAAAAGTATTGGAGAAGCCATAGTAGCCGGAAGATGCTGTAAGCATAGTGCTTTACGACGACTACTTCGTCGCTCAGCCTCCTAACACCATTTGCGCGGTCGAAAGTTTTATTCGAGCTCGAAAAGATGTGTTTTGTTTGTGTTGAACGTGAAAATGGTAATTGGTTGTTCATGATTGACGGCAGAAAGTACTATGAAGTGGGTATAAGCATTTGCGAGTCCAATCGCAGAACATTTGTTACATGCCGATATCGTTGACGCCATATGCTACGCTCTGACAGCGTGTTTGATTAAGTATAGCGCCCTGGAACAGTCCAAAAACTAATGTGTAGCGGTAAATAAATGCTTAAAATAAATAGTTCTGTAAGTCCTCGACATTGATGTCAAACAAATCCTTGCTTAAGGTGCTTGTTCGAAAATCTTCATCAAATCTCCATTGAGTTGATCATTTGAAACATTTGGCATAAATCACATACCTTCAGCATATCGCTGAGCTTCCAAACATTCCATTGTCAATAAGTAGAAACGAAAATATTTTGATGGTTTCGCATGGAATAGAAGAAGCTTTTGCTTAACGAGCTTCCATTTCTAGTGTTTCTAGTTCATATATTACACCAAATATCTGCCTAAATATATAAGATAAATGAAAGTAGTAGAAATATTGTTAACACTGAATATATTACTGTTCAAAGTTTGTAAGAATATAAAGCGTTTCTTCACAGGGTCGAACGAGGATTGTAAATTAATGTGAAGGACTAGGATTAGGAGTAACGGCTTGCAATACTAACTTATATCAGCTACAATGCCTGAATGTTATCTTTCTCAGTTGAGATGTACACAATTTTGTTACGTCAACTACCTGTATCGTAGGCTGGAATATCGGTCAATTTTACGTTCATTTAATGAATGACTGTCAGATTTTGATGTAATTTTCATAAAAGAAATTAGATTATGCTGTGGCTGTAATTTTTATTCGCTACTTCGGGCAGTGTTAGACAGAAAATGCTCAGTAAATGCAGGAATAACATCCCATATTATAAGAAGCTTTGCAATAGTTGTAGTTGTTCGGAAGCAAACCGTCAGAAAGTGATATAGAAAGGTTCGATGGTAAATTTAGCCCTCGTTGTCGCACTGTAAACCATGTTTCGATGCTTAAATGAATGTAGTTGTTGGTGTTGAAACAATATCGTGTGCCTTAGGTATGTCTCATCAGCTTATAGTTTATTTCCGGGCTTTATAAGCTTAATCATCCATAGTCAGTTATTTTAAGTAACATGTCTACCCAAATGAGACAATAATTCTGGCACATCTTTAGTTTAGTATTTTTGATTGTCGTATAACTCAGTCAAGTCAATAAATTATTCTTACTTGAATGAAGTAATGAAACATATTAGTTGCTTGATTTTTCACTTCAACTTACGTACTTAGGCATCGAAGTTCGAAAATTATTTGTATGAGATTCTGTCATATAACTAACCCTCAGCAGCTGAAGTTGAAAGCTTAGAACTTGTGCATTACGCAAGGAATCGGGGAGAAGTGATAACGATGTGCCATATTTATTACATTTATTATATTACTCCTGTCCTCAACATCACTAGTTCATTTAACCAACGAAATGAACGCACGACAGAATATTGTGAAGACCTATAGTCATAACCTTGCTTTTTCTAAAAACGACAGAACTATGGAGACCCCTATATCAACCTGCTCTAAATGAGAATATTGATCCAAATCATTCCTCTTGCAAATACAAAATAAATACCTTGAAGTCTGCTGTTGTCATGCACCGTAATTTAGTGTTTGATTAAGAAGAATGTGATAAGTACTGTCAGTGTGCGTTTGTAAACTATATATCTGACATTTGTTATTTTTCAAGTTCATTATTATTATTTTTAATACGTATCCCCAAATAACAATATGTTGCTACTGCTGAACAATTTCACCAGCGTTAAAATCTTAAGCTGAATAACCAACATCTTGTGTCGTTTCGTTCCTGGAAGAAAGCAGTATACTGTCCTTGGAAATACGGTATTTAGTCCGTACTATGCCTCCACAGATTGTAAGAGCAGACATAATTTTTAGTTTATATGCTTGGCGACATCAATAAATCACAATTGTATAAACATTTCATTTAACTAATTTATTTAATTATTTCATGTACATATGTGCATGCATTTATCTATCTTCTTTTTTGTCATATAAGAATAATAAGGAAAGCTTGCTGAAATGTTATTTACTGATAATTTCATGTTTTGACAAAGGCCAATATTTGTTGTTTATTAGGAATAGAGGAGTAAGCCCTCACAGGACTTTTGCGAACTGTTTCGTCGTCAGAATCATGTGACCACAGGACTACCTATGGAAGACCGTGTTGACAGCACCTTCAAAGTTTTTAGAGGCAGGCTGAGCGTTCACTTTAGTTTCATGACCGCTTCCACTATTTATAAGTAACTTGTTTTACCCTTTAGTTTCATAAACAATGACAAAGACTATAGTTTAGCATTATCAATGTGATCTTTATAAAACGGAAACCTGGTGTATGTGCTTACTTCATATTCCTTTATTAATGAAAGTGTTCCTGAGTAAGCTTTTAAATTAATTTTGCTTTATCAAGTTGACCGCCGTAATAAATCCGTGAAAGACGAGCTTTTTGGCATATAGTTCCCATATAATGTGTTTTACTTGAATGTAGTACAAAATATACTTATTTTCTTCGTTAAAAACCGACGCTGATGAACGTCACAGATGCCGGTCCGTGTATATATTATCAAACGAAGTCGACCAGCGCGCTTTAACTTTTCTTGCAACTTTACGGCCTCCTGTGACAGTTTTCGTAGAAAATAAGTATGTACTTTATGGATATAATATAATGCTTTTATTTCTCTAAAGTAGAATATATAATAGCAAAAGATGGGGATAAAATAGTAAAACACCGCAGACTCACATTGAGGAACCAGTCTTCACTGATTACCTGGAATCGACAATGTTCCAAGATGCATTAGGCAGTGAAACGTTGACCAAAAAATTAATTTGAAGAGTGGAAAGCTAATATCATTAGGCTGTCGCACATTACAGTAACTTTAAAATGCTCGTTTGCTTCCCTATAGGCGGACTTTCGAAACAAGGCCTATACTGAAATTAGAGAAATCTCGATAAATATCGACTGATAACTGAAACGTCTGCCAGTTATTTTTTATTGCATGGGCACTTGTGCACCATCTTAGATGAAGCTATTATATACCGGATGATATTACACCGCAAGTGTAACATGGCTTGCCAACCGGTAACCTTTGATCTACAAAGAACTGAGCATAATAAAATGTATTCACCTTTTCACATTCTGATCACGGCCATTTGGCATCCTGTTATGGCTAAAGCAACAAACCCACACAACATTGGCAGCGGATCTCCGGTTATTAGTAGTTCAACTTGTATTCATACATCACTTAATGCATCCGAGTAATCTAGTAATGTTACGATGAATATTTTCAGCTGCGTGATTTCTTCAAGAGATCGATGGCATTTCTGAATTGGTTCTAGGTTATCTTTTGCTTGGGTCTCATGATCCTTTTAAATAGATCACTGGTATC